AAAAATTAGCTGGGCGTGGTAGCGCGCGCCTGTAGTTCCAGCTCCTTGGAAGGCTAAGGCGGAAGGATCGCCGGAGCCTGGCAGGTCGAGGCTGCGGTGGCCGGGAGCAGCCGCTGCACTCCAGTCTGGGCGACAGTGAGACTCCAACTCAAAAACAAACAAACAAAAAACCCCATCCTTTTAAAATAGAGTTTAGGTCAAGCTTGGTGGCTCAGCCTGTAAGTCCAGCACTTTGGGAGGCCTAGACAAGTGGATTGCCTGAGCCCGCAGGTTCCAGATCAGCCCGGGCAACTTGGTGAGACCTCATCTCTACAATAAATCAAAAAAATTAGCTGGGTGTGGTAGCATATACCTGTAGTTCGGCTGCTTGGAAGGCTGAGGCAGAAGGATGGCTTGAGTCCAGCAGGTCAACGCTGGGGTGGCCGTGAGTGTGTCATTGCCCCTCCAGTCTGGAATTACAGGCATGAGCTACCCACCCAGCTATTAATACTTCTTGAATGCTTCCGCCTTTTCACTTTTATGAGCTTTGATATTTGAACAAGTTTTTCTTCCTTTAGTGATTTGTAAATTATAATATAATCATTATTATATATATAAAAAATATATTTTAAGAGACATGGTCTCACTCTGTCACCCAGGCTGTAATGCAGTGGCATAATCATGACTCACTGCTGCCTCAAACTCCTGGGCTCACGTAATCCTCCTGCCTTAACCTCCTGAGTAGCTGGGACTACAGGTGTGTGTCACCACACTCAACCAATTAAAACATTTTTTTTCTTGTAGTATTGGAGTCTATCTATGTCTTCCAGGTGGGTCTTGAATTCTTGGCCTCAAGCAATCTTTCCTGCTCAATCGCCCAAGTGGTAGGATTACATGTGTGAGCCACTGTGCCTGATCTATTCAATTATTTAATATCAATATCTAAAATGAGATCCCTTCCCTTCATCAGGAATGAAAATGCTTCCTCCTCCTTTCCTGGTACTCTCTCCTAGCTTTTGTTGAAATAATTTGGAATATTAGATTTTACTGTTTTTTTTTTTTTTAATGGTTACTCTTGACATTTCAACATCCATAACCTGTTCATGTTCTATTTTGAAATAATATATTCACAAATGATGTTAGAGTTAAAATTTTTTTTTTTTTTTTTTTTTAGTTAAAGTCTCTCTCTTTCGCTGAGGCTGGAGTGCAGTGGCATGCTGACGGTCACCACATCCTTGACCTGCTGGGCTCAGGCGATCCTTCCATCTTAGCATTCCAAGTAACTAGAACGACAGGCCAGCACAACCACGTCTAGCTAATTTTTCTTGATTTATTGTAGAGGTGAGGTCTCGCCGTGTTGCCCGGGCTGGTCTTAAACCCCTGGGCTCAGGCAATCCTTCTGCCTCCACCTTCCAAAGTCCTGGGATCACAGGCGTGAGCCACTGTGCCTGGCCTAAAATTTTATAATGCCATTTATCCACATATATATACTCTTTATATTCTTATTGCCATATGTTTTACTTGCACATATTTTAAAAACCCTGTAACGTACTGTTGTTCATTTTGCTGTAACTAGTCAATAATCTTTTTAAAAATTTATTTCATGTTTACCCTTTCTGGCCAACATTTGTGTCATTTGTGCATCTGATTCTGTTGATTATTTTTTCTCTTAATTATGGGGCACATTTTACTACTTTTTAGCATGTCTCCTGATTTTTGATTAGATGTTGAACATTGCGTGAAAAAAAACAATAGTGTTGCAATTGATGTTTTCCCCAGAAGAGTCTATATTCCTTCCTATGTCAGTTCTCTAGGGCGGCATCCAAGTCAATCTAATCTGGTTGAGCTGAGTCTGGTCTTTTGGGAAGAGTTAATGTGATTCATTTTGCCACTAGCTTCAAATGTGATAAATAATAAGGATGATCACTTTAGAGATCTTGGAATTTGTGCAGTGCTTTTCATAGAGAGTTTATGCTGCTAACCTCTTGGGTCACGGAGAAATTCTTGTTCTCTCCAGAATTATCCACAACATTCTGCTAGTTGAAAGATCTCTCTCCACCCTGATATTCTGTGCCTAGTCTTTGATGAGCTGTCGCCTCGAACTGGGTGAAGAGTTTGTGTACATTGAGGGGAATTGCTCTCAATTACCCTATCTTACCCTTAGCCTTTGGTGGGTGCTGCCATGGCCCTTGATTAACTAAATTAATTGTTATATTTAAATGTAAATTAATTATTATCCAAAATAAAACATTCCATAATAGTATAACAAAAGCTCTGCTTTGCTGCATACTTCTTCTTTCCATACTATAGACTTTTATATGTAATTAATCAATAAAAATAGTCTGTCTCCTACTTTAAACTGAAGCAAGATTAATTTCCTGGACGAACTGTATTACTAAGCCAGTTTAAAGTCCAGCTTCATTTTAATCAAATAAAAGTATTAAGAGAATATATGTTTGATAATATTAACAAACATACTTCCTATTGATTATACAAAAAACACATGTATGATTTGCTATTAATGGCAAACACACACACACACAACTGTTTCTTTTATCTGCAAAACCTGGTCAAAATTACATTACTTGCAAACTCACTCACACATGCGTCAGAGATGCCAGAAGCAGACACCTGGTCTCACTGTATAAGGCTATTAAACTCTTAAAGAACAGGTGATGTCTTATTTGGTTTTGGGTTTCTGGCACTGAGCATAGGGCAGATACAGGAAAAATAGCTTTGAGAAAACAATAAAAATGCAAAAACACCCTTCAACAGATAAAACACAGGTGTCTACATTGACATAGCAAGTCACGACTCCACTGGCATTTCTTTCGATAATGAACATTTCCTCAGAAGCCATGAGCACTATTTATTTCTGGATCACCTCACCTACTTGTCCTACTCAATAAACATGTTTGGAAAGGGGAGCTGCCAGCCTCCTAATTCTCTGTCAGTTGGCCTAGACGGCCCTAGCTCTCCCTTATCCCAAGATATCAGGCAGAGAGAGATGGAGCCACCTATGATGCACTTAGCTCTTGCCTTGGTATGCCAGACGAAGGGATTCTTCCTGGAGGCTGTCCCACCATATATGTATACAAATATAATATATATAATATATATATCTATAGATGTGTGGTGTGTGTATATACATATATACATATTATATATATGTATAGAGGATATAGAGCTGGAGAAGGAGGAGTTAGTCAGCTTATGTTAGTTGAGTGAATATTTACTGGGCATCTACTATGACCAGTCACTATGTTCAGACATAGTAGAAACATATATGTATATGTATGTGTGTATATATATATATACACACTTGGCCTCCCATAGGGCTGGTATTACAATTATGATCCATTGCACCTGGCTGGCCCGTTATCTTTTAAATCAACTGTAACCATCTGGCAGATGTTCTCGGGGTGGGATCGATGTGCTTCCTGATAGAGATTTCTTCCTCTTCTACTCCCTGCTTGTCCCACTTCGCTCCCTTCCAGCATGAAAATCATTTGCCCTGGCCTACAGGGGAGAGCAGCATCTAGTCTCCTGGCAGTCCTATATGGCATTTTACTGTATGCACAGTTCTACACACACACACACACACACACACACACACACACACACACACACACACACACACACACGATTACTCAGAAGTTCTCTGAACTTTTGGTCTTGCTGCCCTCTTGGCCTGGATTGCCCCTCCCGGCCCTAATGCACCCCTAATTGCCTTGGTTGAGTCTACAAGTCTGCAAGACGGAGCTCAATGCGGGAATTCCAGGAAGGTTTTCAGGAGGAAATGGTACATGAGTAAATGCCCCTCATCTGATTCCCATGCCACCTGGGAGGTGTTTATCTCACTTTAACAGTCACATTATTACACTGGGTTCCTATATGTCTCCTTTGAAACAGGAGACCCAGACTGATTCGTTTTTGTTTCTACTCTGTCTGAACATAGTGACTGGTCATAGTAGATGCCCGGTAAATATTCACTCAACTAACATAAGCTGACTAACTCCTCCCTCTCCAGCTCTATATCCTCCTTATATGGTTGGGTTTCTCTTCCTCAGGGCAACAATTCCCACTTGTCCTGGGGCCGAGAAGTTGAGCCCATTCATATCTGAATGCCATTGATTCTTTTATTCTCTTTTGGGACAGGTGAGCTTATGGCTTTTACTCCTTCCTCAATGATTTTTTTTGCTTGATAATCTAGCGGAATACCTCTGAATACAGTTAGTCTTTGTATAATACCACAGGATAGTGAAATATTTATTTTAGAATTCTCTGGCTAATCAGATGCTACCTCATACTTGATTCTAAAATAGGCAAAGGTTCACTAAAAGGTTTAGTCGTCACAGAAATCTGTTAATATTTGTGTTGTTTCAAATTGGGAAAAGATAGCCAGTATCCAATTTTTGCCATTCTGTGTCATGGGACACTCGTGTTGCATAGGAATGACATTTGAGAACTTCTGCTTGAGTCAAGCGACATAACGGTGAAACATGCTACTAAGCAGCAGTGCTATTTCACTTCATGAAAATGTAAAAATAAATTATTCCGACAATTGGTGTTCACATCCTGAAATAGGCTCATAACCCTGCCTCGCTTACTGAAAAGAGTAACTAGGTGCCACCTTTTTCCTTCTTAGGATGTGAGGCTGAGATCCTGGGTGTCAGGCCTACTCACTGCATAGAATACAAATATGCCCCAACGGATATCCAGTTTGCTAATGCAGTCAACGATGCTCTGGACTCATTCAAGTAAGTGCTCCAAATTTCTAGCCATTCCATTGTTCTTCCTTGTTTCCAGGATCAGTCATGGATCCTAAAGTGAATTAAGAAGGCCTAGAGGAGGTGGAATAATGTCTTAGGGAGTTGATGAGCCTCTTGTATGCTAGCAGGGAATCATTGTGAGCAAAGGACTTCATGCTTTGAAATTGCTAAATGGAGAGCGAGAAAATCCCAGGGGTTTGGGACCCCGTTTTTATGTTGCTGACCAATGGAGAAGCAATATACATGTCAGCATGTCCCTAATCATGATTTAGTGAACCATTGTATCTCAGAAGATATAATAAGTGTTTGACAAAAAAAGGGAGGATCTGAGGTCAGATATGTTTGGGAAAATTCCTTGCCCTATCCCCTTCTTGGAAATATACATGCACATTAGCATATTAGATCACAGAACCTGTTTTTTCCCTCCTACCTGGAACCATGATGCATATCTTGAAAATGCAGAAGTCAGAATGCTGTCCTGAATAGCACACAAGAGTCTGTTAAGAAAGCTGACTGACAAGCTAAGTCAGAACAAAGCCTCAAACCCGTCTTAGAAATCACTGGAAGTGGAGGTCCAGATGGGAGTCCAGGTGGGAATGTGCAATAGAGATTAGCAGCCAGACGGTGAAGGACATTGGGGTCTCAAGTGCCCAGGGGTGGACTTGAGGTCATCTTGGCTGCCGAATGCATTTCCTGGGCGGGCCAGCTAGAAGACCCACAGTAATCGAGGGACAAGACCTTCCCCTCCTTCAAGCTGGGCACAGCCAGCAGCCCATTGCCCAGGCATGGTGTGCAGATCCACTAGCACTAACCCCACAACCCCTTGGATGGGCCTGGAATGGAGACCGCCTCTGATACAGAGCTGACCGGTCTGGAGCTTTATTCTAGCCGTATCCCAGTCCTATCATGGTGAGCAGCAGGCCCCCTCACGGAACGATGAAAGGATCAAACAACAGCATGCCCTCACTGCTCCTTAGAATAATTCCCTTTCCATGAACACTAGTGAGACAGTCCATGGAGCCACAGAAACCTGATTGGCAGGTTGGACAGCAAATAGGCTCAAAATACCTAAAAACTGAGAAGTTACTCTTCAGTTTTTTGAGTTGACTCTGTCGCCCAGGCCAGACTGCAGTGGCACGCTCACGGCCACCACAGCCTTCACCTGCCGGGCTCAGGCGAACCTTCTGCATCAGCCTTCCAAGTAGCTGGAACCACAGGCACGTACCTGGCTGATTTTTTGATTTATTGTAGAGACGTGGTCTCGCCAAGTTGCCCAGGCTGGTCTCGAGCCCCTGAGTTTAGGCAATCCTCTTGTCTCTGCCTCCCAAAGTGCTGGGATTGCCAATGTAAGCCACCAAGCCCGGCCAAGATGTTACATATTTTAAAGCATAGATTTGTGTTCTGGGGGGTGGGGAGAGGGAAGTGGCAGACTCATAACCTTTCAAGATGTATTCTTCACATGATTTGTACATCCTGTGTGTTACCTGATCCTGCCTCCTGCCCACTCAGCTTCATTTTTCTTGGCCACAAGTGCTGGAAAACCACACACAGGACGAGGCGGAATATTGTAGTACAGTCTAGTTTTGTGCAAACAAAGCAGAATAGCACAGTCACACGGCAGATGAGCTGGGCTGGAATTTTGGAATCGCTCTATGATTAGCCAGTGCTGTTTCCAACACACCCCAAATGCCAGCCCTCTCTACAGCTCACTGCCATGCCAAATATGGAAATCTGTGTTCAAATTGTCATACACATACCTCCAAGTAACCCAAGAGTCTGCCTGGCAGAGTCATCCTTTCCACGTTCAGCCCGATGGACTCTCGCCATACACCACCCAGTGGTTCAGAGGTGCAGGAGCCACTAAGCCCACAGTCGTGAGAATCCCAGGTCAGGAGGGTTTATGCACTGGCCCATCTCAGCAGATATCGCTGTCCTGAGGGACACCAAAATGTTGGGGGAATTTTGCTGGGAGATGGGCTGTGTTTCCTTTAGAGAAGTTTTTTTTTTCCTTTCCTTTTCTTTTCAAACAGCATGGCAAAGCCATGAAATACAGCAAATTGCATCTTTACCTTGGCAAGTACTTAGGAATGGGGAGGGTTTTGTTGTTGTTGTTGTTGGTGGTGGTGGTGGTGTTGCGGCACGTGGGTGTATGTGTGTCTTTAGCGAAGACATTAAGTACCGCTAGAAAGAAAAGGCTACAAAGAACTGGAAGCCCAGGAAAGTGGCCCTGGGCTAAACCTCTGCATGACATGTCCTGGTGCTACAACCTTGTCCAACTCAACACCGTTTATAAATGGCCTCGAGCTCCGTGGGGTGGCATTCATGTCATCTACGATATGAATGATGCCCCTGGTGGGTGGCGGTGAAGGCCCAGCAGAATAGAACCAGGTCAGTGATAGTCTTCATATTGCCAAAGTTAACAGGGCCACTGGGAAACAGCCCCTTTCGAAAAGTAAGCAGATACTAGTCAGTTCTTGAAATGACAATGAGAAAAGAACAGTAATAAGCTGGATGATACTGCCTATGGCAGATAGTCAGATGGCTTGGGCTTCTCCCAAGACAAGGGAAGCACCTCCTTCAGCCGACCTGTGCATTTTTACCTTCCTACAAATTATCATTACCTTCTTGCAAATTGAGTAAATGACTAAGCAGTAGGTCAACATTGTTCCTTAAAAGAAATGTAACCTCTGTCTTCATCAGGAGTGAGGTGAGTGAGAGAGATATCCGGTCTAGAGCAGTCTAGGTCAATCGAGGGCACTTAGCAGTAGTAGCTCATCCATGCAATAAAATGCTCAAAGAAATCATTAATTCTCTTGGTATGTGTACCTAGGCACAGACACACAATTATCCGTATCTCCATCAGAGATCCCTGGAAGGAAGTATATGTCTAGACCTCCACAGCTCACTTCTTGATTTCTGCTTAACTCTACCTCAAATTCCTAGCTATTATTTGAAGAGTTTTCACACACAGGTGTCCAAACACATACACACATTTCTCCGAGTCAGTATTTCATAGACTGTCTTTCTCTGTCCACTTTACTGTTAGGAAGCAGAGAGAATGGGACACAGGAAAAGAGGCCTTTCGGATCCTCACATGGAGGTCTACCCAGGGACATTTCAACAGCAGGGCCAGGTCAGTCAAGCAGCTGCACATGTCTCTGTAGGAAGGAAGACTCCCTCATCCATGATTGATCTGGGTGTTGCATCCAGTTCTCATAATGCCTTATTAACCCATCATAGCCTTGTGAGATGCTCCCTTTGAACTTGGATAGCCTCTAGCCCAGAGGAAAGGAAGAGGGGAAGGGAACTGACATCTGTAACCTCCATCTGCTAGGATTGTGGCTTTAAAGGCCTTGTGTCTCCATAGCCCACTTTGCTCTCACATCTGCCCTACTATGTCGCTGTTGTTCTCCCATCTCTCAAAAGAGACCACCAAGTCTCTGAAGGCAAGATACCTTGGGCCGGATCTCAGAGGCCAGCAGGTGGTGGAGCCAGGGCCCAGCTCTTTCCAAAGGCCTCAGGGCCCACCTCAGGGGTCTCTACTGAGAACGCAGTGACTGAGACTACTCCAGCGTCAGCTCCTCCGTTCGCCACCCTGGTCTACGCCCACACCTCTAAGACTCTCCAGAGTCAGACAGGGAGAGGGAACGAGAACCACCTCTGTGACATTCTCATCTCTGGGGGCAATCCCGGGCCTGGGGGCTCACGGGAGCTCCATGTGCCTCGCCAGCTCACACGGGCGCCCTCCAGGCCGCACGCCGCACCCCGCCCCCCTCGCCTGTCAGAAAAAGAAAGCATTTGTGATCCGCATCACTTAATCCAGCCTCTTGGAAATTCTGTTCGCAGGATCTTCATGGCTCAGCAGGCAGGGAAAGGTGTGTGTGGCGCTAAAGCGGAAACAAGCCCCGAGGGGCTCGTGGGGCGGGGGAGGGGGGAGGGGGAGGCAGCCACAGTGGGACCCGGCTGTCTGTGCAGCCTCACAAAAGGGTGGGTCGGGGCACAACTACACAACTGGGCAGCAGGAGCGGGGGGCACAGCTGATGTTCTTTGTTGAGGCTGTTGGAGACAGCTCCAAAGGATCCCTCAGGACCCCAGAGCCTCTGAGAGCGCTGGTGTTAAAGAAGAAATGGATGGGTATGAGGTGGCCCTTTCCTTCGGCCCCATGGAAGTCCTGGCCTGGTCCCTCCTCCCTGAGGACTGTGGGGCGGAACAGGTGGGAATGGGGCCTGAGTTCTGCAGACTCAGAGGCCCGCAGAGGCCTCCCTGCCTGGCACACATATGAAGAAAAAGAATGGAAGGGCATCTAGAAGGAAAAAGAAATGGGGGACATTTCTCTCCTCTTTCCTCCCTTGCACTGTGTGCCAAAGTGCTTTACAAACAGCTCATCTACTACCCAACGGAACCCTTCAAGGAGGCTTTTCAGGCAAAGAAATTTGGGCTCAGCGATATTTTTGCCCCTCATCTGAGGCCTCCAGGTGAGTGAGAAGGGAAGTCAGAGTTGGATCCTAGGTTTGTCTAGTTTCAGTGCCCTTGTCAGCAGTTAATTTTCAAAGTGAAGACTTTGTCATGTGTCCACTACTCTAATTTGTATGAGAATTGTACCAAAGCTGGAGTTAATTTCTTGCTGCAGGAAGATAAAGCTGGTTAAAAGGAGAAGCTGAGCAACGCACACAGATGAAGAAACAGAATGATGGAGAATGATGCGGTCTGATTATTGTTAGATGCAGACACGCTTAATAATGCAGAGGAAAATCAAACCGTAATTTCTGGGCTGGCTTTCTCTCTCGGACAAAAGTAATTTTCATCTTATCAGTTTCCTACAAGTTAACAGCTGGGTTTACAGAGTCTGAGCTCTAATTGGTAGTTAAACTTGGTGACTCAGACAAGCTTATTGGACAGTAGTCTAATATGCCACTGAAAAGACAGGCAGTCATTTGTTGGGCCTTATTTCTAAGTGTAGGATTATTTTTCTTTTCTTTTCTTTTCTTTACTCTGTTGGCCAGGCTTGAGTGCAGTGGCAGGATTACAGTTTACCGCAGCTTTGACCTTCTGGATTTAGGACATCCTTCCTCCTCAGTCTCGAGTAGGTGGGACCGCAGGTGCACACCACCACACAGGCTGGTCTTGAACTCTTGGGCTCAAGCAATCCTCCCTCTTCAGTCTCCCAAAGTACTGGGATTACAGGCATGAGCCACTATGCCTGGGAGGATTAATTTTTTTTTTAACAGTCAACAAATAATTCCTTCTCCATTTCTTTCTCCCTACTTCTCTCTTTCTAACCGACTTCAGTAAGAAAACGGATATGTTATACACTTTTTTTTTTTGAGTTGGAGTCTCACTCGGTCGCCCAGACTGGAGTGCAGCGGCCACTCCCGGTCACCACAGCCTCGCCTGCTGGGCTCCGGCGATCCTTCCGCCTCAGCCTCCGAGTAC